AAAAAGACAGGAGTGGTAAAGACAGAAACATTTTGCTTTCTAAAATGGGAATCACACAGTGAATGATGCCTTCCTTTAGTGTGTGAAATTTGAAATTTATGCTGTAATAGTATAATTTGTCAACAACTTAAGGCTTTAAGTTTTTTTTTCTGGTCCTGGGGCTTGAATTTAGGGTCTGGGCACTGTCCTTGAGCCTTTCTGTCTTCAAGGCTAGTGCTCTATCACTTGAGCCACAGTGCCACTTCGGCTTTTTCTAAGTAGTTTATTGGAGATAAAAGTCTCACAGGCTTTCCTGCTTGGGCTAGCTTTGAACCATGATCCTTAGATCTCAGCCTCGTGAGTAGCTAGGATTACAGGTGTGAGCCACCAGCACCAAGCTAGGCTTCAAAGTTTAAGAGGAGTACTTTACAATGCACAGTAAATTGACTTTCATAAATCATCTACTCATCAAATACATATTGAGAGCCTTCTATGTATCAGGCAGGTTCCATTAAGGATGGAACTGGCATAAAACACATCTAAATTATTGCCTAATAGAACCCACATTATCTGGCGGAAAATAAAGCAATTTAATGTCAAAGAATCATATATATGGTGGTGCTTTGTAATATAATGAGAAATAAAAGTAAGGGTTGGGCACATAAAATGCTGGTAAAGATGGACCAAGATAAAGGAGTTGGATTTTAAATAGTATGGTTGTCATTGACAAAGACCTAAAGGAGACAATTGTTGAGTTAGTCTCATAGTTGTGAATATTTCAATCCTTGTCATATGTCCTGCACTGTTGGCCATCCCAGAGAAGGAGATGACATTAAAGACAAGGCAGGATGTGTATTGGATTTGGTGTTACTCATTGCTTTTCATTTCATACTTCTCTTACAAAAACATTTTGATACAATAGTTTAAATTGAGAGTGTATACTCATAGACATCTGGTATCTCCTTGGTTGCTGTAACCTCAAAACTATATTAAAAATCTCAGGACTCATTATTAATCTATTAGATCAGAAATAGAATGAAGAAGTTGACTGAGATCTTGTGTTTCTTAGCCTACGGCTTGATATTTTGGACCATCTCCATTTCTTCTCTTTTATGAGAATGGGAATTACTGACAACTGTGCTATGAGGACAGCTCAGATAAATTTGATAATGGTGGATGGACAAATGAAAAAATTTCTAACCACATAGGCCTATGAAGTTGATGCCTCATGTTTTTCATTTAGATTCCCAGTGTCCTTATAGAATTATTTTCTTGTAAATTTTATCAATCTATCATCTGGATTACTAAAAATCTTGCTTTATCTTTCGCCTTTTCTCCCACTAAACACCATTTAATTTGGTAGTACGGATGATCTTTAAAATATTCAAGTAGATAAGGGAACACATCTGCTAAAAATACTCCCATTGGCATTTTATTTCACTGGGTAAAAGTCCATGTTCTTCTGAACAGCTTATTAAACCCCATATGACAGGGCTTCTGCTACATACAAATTCATCCTCTATCATGATCCATCCTTTCATTGTGTTCACGTCACACCTCTCTCTCTCTCTCTTTCTCTCTCTCTCTGTATATAGATATAACAGATATATATTTGTCTTAGGACCTTTATCCTATTTGTCAGACTTCATCATATCTTCCTCATTCTCATTCTCAAGTCTTTTAATGAAGGAAGGAAACCAGTCCTGAAAATCCAATACATAACAATTCTTCACCTTTTGCCCCTTTCCCTGGCCCATGTACCAGCCACTGTCTTCAGTTACCCCAGAGCCACACCAGATGTGGTAGGTCCCAGGCTTCTGAGAGTATTACCTTTGCCACCATTTCTAGGGGCTTCTGGTGATGTAAAACAAGCCACAGGACCCCAGTGCCTTGGTGGTTACATCTACCATGCATTTGTAAACCACATGTGTTACCATCAGCCCCAAGTTTCTGAATGTTCTCTGCCAACCACAGGAATTCTGGACTTCTGTTACACACCAGCACTGCATCTGTGACATAGACATTTGCCAGAAAACCAGCCTGTGAGGATGGCGATAAGGTACCATCCACCTCAAACATACAGTGACAGATGCACTACCACAAGGATTGAGAACAACCCGTGAAACACCGCATCATCACAGCTATATTCTATCACACAACTTGAAAAAAAGCATTATCAATTTCTCTCCAAAGTCTTCAAAAAATCAGAGGTGAGAATTCTTCTGGACTCATCATTTTGGTAACAAAAGCAAACAAAGATGCTATCAAGAAAGACCAATATCCCTGACCAACAAAGATGTGCAAATGCTCAACACAACACCAACAAATGGAATTTAGCAGTGTATATTAAAGACCATTCACAGTGATAACTTGGTATTAAGCCCAGTGAGGTGACAATAGTCTCACTTACGTAAACTAATAAATGTGATATGGTAACAAAAAGAAGAACAAAAAATAATATGGTTTCAACAGATGGAGAAACGGCATTTGGCAAAACAGAACATTACAGAATTATTAAAAATATCTATCAACAACAAAATTCATACTTGTAACAAACCCAAAACTAATATTCTATCCAACAAGGAAGATTTAAGAATATTTCTTCTATGACCAGAAGGCAAGGATGCTCATTCTGTGTCAATTTTATTCAGTATAGTACTGGGGATTCAAACTAGACTAATTTGGCAGGTAAGAGAAATAAAAGGCATCCAGAAAATGTTAAACTGTTCTTTGTTTAGATATTATATGATCACATACATAGTCCTAAAGAATCCACTAGTAAAACTTTTGGTATTACCAATCAAACCAATGAAATAATATTAGGCCATAGAAAAGATCTTGTGATTTTCTACAACATGGAAAAACTTACAGGACATGATGTTAAGCAAATAAATAATACACAGAAAGAAAAGCCCTGCATGATCTCATTTGCATGTGGAATCCAAAATTGTTAATCTCTTAGGCACAAAGAGTGGAATGGTGTAATTTACCAGTACAGGTCTGAGGAAATATTGATTAGTAGTATTGAGTTACAGTTAGACAAAAGTAAGTTCTGCTCAATGTTGCACGAGAAGGTGTTGAAAGATGAGAGTAATTGTTTTATACTTTAGAAAACTAGAAGGAAGGATTTTAAACATGTTTACCAGGAATAAATGACAAATGCTTTAGGAGCTAGATATGTTCAACATGGAGTTAAATATCACTCAATAGATACATATGCCAACATATTACCTGGTATTCCATTCATATGCATAGTTTTTATTGTTAGATGATGGTAAAAATATAAACTTGATTTAATAAGAAAATGAAGATGATCTCATAAAAAAAGGATGTAAATTAGTGGTTACTTGCAGCTAGGAAGTGGAGGGGGAGGTTGGGGTAATGTTCACATGATATAAAATTTCAGTTAGGAAGAGGAATCTCAAGAGATCTATTGTACAACATGGTGACTATAGTTAATAATGTATTAGTGACTATAGGTATCAGTTGCTATAGTATTACAGTGATTCCTTTGATAGTAGTGTATTGTAATCTTGAGAAATGCTAAGGAGTGAATGATAGATGTTTTCAGCACAACCATAACTGTGTAAGGTGAAGTTTATGTTATTTTGTTACATTTAGTCATTATAGTCCACACACATAGACACACACACACACACACATAAGTGTGTGTGTATATATATGTATATATACACACATATTTAAAAATAAAATGTTGCAAACTAAAGAAAATTTTATTTGTTGATGTGAAAAATAAAAATGAAGAAAATTAAGAGCCACTGATTAGACTCAATTCACAAATAAACATAGGGGTTTTTTTTGCATTTCTTGATAACAACAAAAAAATTTATCACCCCAGTTGTTAAGAAATGAAAAGACTTGGAAAAAATTATATTAAGTGAAGTAAGCCAGGTCCAAAGAAACATAGGTCCTATGGTTTCCCTTATTTGCAATAACTAGTATATTTCTGGGTCAAGCAGAAAAAGTCAAAAGCTATGTACATATGACCCGATAAAATGATGTTAAGAGAAATGAACCCCAAGATAGGAACACAAGTGGTTTTTTTCTTTCTTGCTATTGTTCCTAATGTATTTATAATGTACTACGTGAGTTTTTGTTTCTTTGTATGTTCCTCCCCCATGGTATAACCCCTGTTTACACTGTATTTGATGTTGGTGCCCTGCATCTTCTATATACACTTCTCTAACTTGGAGAGGGGAAGGGAAAAAACAAAATGCTTAAATAGGGATACAGGTTGACCCATTGTGACAATGAGATGTACAAGACACTATGTTGAAAAACGAACTTTACAATTTAGGCAGGGGAGAAGGGGAAAGGGGTGAGGGGGGAGTGTAGTTGAGAGGTGGGAAGGAAGAGATGGTAGGGGAAAAACAAAGGAGGAGGCAACAATGCTTGATAGGAAAGGTACTCATTACCTTGCTCATGTAACTGTAACCCCTCTGTACAGTATTTTTGCTAAAAAATGTATTTAAAAAATTAAAAGTTGGGCCAAAGATTTTAAAATAAAAGATTTTAAAATTAAAGAAAATGAAACCTGCAATGATGGGAAAGCAAACATGATCAGTAGTTTAGGAATAGCCTTACAGTAGAAGAGTTTTATCCATATAAATCCAAATCATGTACAATGCAACATATGGACACCAATGTTCTTGAGAGAAACAATATATACCTATAGCAAGCACAAAATAGAGCTATTTTATGAATTGCATTGCCATTTATAAAACATATTTAAAGACAGTAATAAGACTATTCCAAGGGATGACATTGATCAAAATGAATCATACTCACAAACTGACACGTTGAATTGAAATTCCTTTGTACAACTTAATATCATTTAAACAAATCAAAAAAAGATTGTTCTAGTACTGAGATCATTCCATTTTACTACTGGAATATGATCATAAAGATAGAATGTTAGAGAGTTGTTTTTTTTTTAATGGATAAAGTGATTTTTCAGCACTATGTATTTTTTCGCTCAAGTGAGAATAGAGGATACTCACGTGGAATTTTATGCAACTCATTCATAAACTTCTCCTTCAGCTTAGAAAAAGCATCCTCTTTTCCTTCTCCAGGACTGGCTGGCTCTGTGGCATTATTCTGAAGAACAGTTGCAACAGTGGTAACTGGCGGGGCTGCCAGTGCCTCATGATGACTCTCGCTTACCATCTTAGGTTCAGGTGAATCTGTAAGGGGAGGGAGACAGAGAAGAACAATTCAACAGGGCTTACCTGACCCCCATATCAAAGCTGTAGCAGAGATGAGAAAGCATCAGAGGTTACACCTGCTTGCTGGGTAAATAGTCGATCATTAGCATATTACTTTATGTTGGGTTCATGAAATATTTATGGACCATGGTGAGTGGAGAGTTCTTTCCCAGAAGGTAAAGCCTGCTGTAGTTACTGAATAGCATTTTCTCCTAACAATGCTATGTAATCTGTCAAGTCTATTAGTTATTTATACAGGCCAATTTTTGCTGTATAGATTTAACTTCTAACCCATAGTTTACTGAAATGTGTAGGAAACAGTTGCTGGCAAAATATATGCTCTAGATGTAAACATCTTATATTTTGTAAAAGGAAATAAACAGAGAAGGTACTTACAATAGGAACCGTTGATAAATGATAACATACATTAAAAATGTCTGTGGCTTTTTAAATGTTTTAAAATACTATTATTATAACTCTGATAGTCTATTATGAACACTATCCACAAACTGGTCCTTGAATTTCATTTATTGATGGCATGTTTTTGTCCTAGTCTTTTATCTTTTTTTGTTGACATTTACTGTAGACAATACTCTGATCAATAATTCACTTGTTTTTCCAGGTGATTGTTTTTTTTTTTTAAGGTCACTGTAAATATGATTGACTATATATATCAAGGTACTGAGGATAAAATAAATCTTGGCTATGAAATTATTTTAATTTATCTAACCTCATAATATAATCAAATTATTTTATTAAATTAATTTATTACATTATTTTAAGCGTTTACCTCTAAACTGAAAAAGTAAAATAAATTCTAAGGTAGTCAATAGAAACACCTTGGCCTGGAGTCCAGAAGACATTTGTTCTGGTCTCCTTCCCTAGATCAATGGACTTTGACAGGGCATTTGACCTCTTTAATTATTCACTTTCTGAAACAGGAAGGACAGAGAACCTTTCCCTTCCTAGACTTTTTTCTTAGTCTAGCATGTGTGAAATGCTATCTAAATAGAAGCAAGGTATTCTCGAGGAGGAGAAATACACTCAGATCTACAATCTCAAATTATTTTTGACTTTATCATTTTGCCATGTGACTTAAGTTTTCAGGAGGTACTAAAAGCAAAACTTTTGGATTTTCTGGAAGGAGATCATGGCTGAGGTAAATATTCATACACAAAAATTAACTGATTATATAATTAACTAGTTCTCTCTTTTAACCCTTCAACTTTACATAACATTTACCACATCCAAGTTTCTTTCTGCTAATCAAACTGAATGATACTATTTATATATTATTAAACAATTAAATCACTAAGATAAATATTTATAATTTTGAATCTATTGTTCAGTAAATAAAAACACAGTCATTTTACTAACAGGAAACAGATTGCTTAATTTTATAGATATAATCACTTTAGTAGAATTGTAACATGTTGACTTATATTAAAAATATTACTGGGGCTGGGAAGGTGGCTCAGTGGTAGAGCACTTGCTTGCATGCCTGAGGCCCTGGGTTTGATTCCTCAGCACCACATAAGCAAAAAGAAAAAAAGCCGGAAGT